TGATCCTCCAACCTCAGCTTCCCGAGTGCTGGGATTACAGGCGTGCACCACCATGCCTGGCCCTTTGTTATATGTATTTTAACATTACGGAAAAAATCTATTCCACATTTACCTCTCAATTTGCCTCATTTCTCTTTATTCTGTCTCTTTATTCTCTTCCATCTGGTTTGATGGCCCTTCAGCCGAAGAACCTTCTTAAGCATTTCTGAAACACTGATGACAAAGTCTCTGTGTTCTCTTTTCTTTCATCTTCATTCCAGCAGAATCTCTCACTGGAAAAGCAGTTCAGAGTGGGCGATTTCTTTCAGCATTTTAAAGATGTTCCACTGTCTTCTGGTTGTGTTGTTTGTGCTGAGAAGACGGTGAACATGGTTCTCTGTGTGCAGTCTGCCCTTTTCTCTGGCTGTTCTCAAAATCTTCTCTTTATCTTTGGTTTTCAGCAGTTTGCCCATGATGTGATGCTGTGTGCTTTTTATCTCTTATCTTCAGTTCTGCTTTGGATTTACTGGGGTTCTTGAATCTGAAACTACATGTCTCACAGTGGCCACATGGCCACTGTCTTGAATACAGTATGTCTTCATTCTCTCTCTCTGCCTCTTCCTCTGACACTCCAAGAACACATATATTCCAGCTTTTTGTGTTGTCCCACAGGACCTTGAGTTTCTGCTCATTTTTTTAAAATGCTTTCTTCAGTCAAGCGTGGGGTGCACACCTGTAATCTCAGTGTTCAGGAAGCTGAGGCAGAAGGATTGGGAGTTCAAGCCAGCCTAGACTATCAAAAAAAAAAACAAAACCTGAAAAAAATGTTTTCCTCTATTCTTCAGATAGGATCATTGCTATTTATCTGTCTTCAAGTTCAGTGACTTTTCTTTTGGCCACTTCCATTCTCTTATTAAGCCCTTCTAGTGAATTCTTTTATCATATGCTCCATTCCTTAGTTCTATGATTTAAATTTGATTATTAAACTTCTTGTTTTTCTGTTTATGGTCCCTATATTTTTTCCATATGAGCATATTTTTCTTTCTTTTTATTGTTATTGTTTGAGACAGAGTCTCACTATATAGATCAGGCTGGCCTAGAACTCACTATACAGCCCAGGCTAGCCTTGAACTCCTAGCAATCCTCCTGCCTCAGCTTCCTGAGTGTGGTGGCTAAAGGTGTGTGTGACAACATCCAACTTCTTTGCTTCTTTATGTGTTAAACTCCTGTTGTACTGACTCAGACATCTGGGCCATTTTGGAGGATGGTTTCTGGTATATTTTCTCATGAACACGGTTTTTTTTCCTCCATATTTTGAGTAACTTTGGATCATATCCTGGATATGGTATGTCTTAGTGCATTTTCTGTTGCTATAACAAAATACAGAAGTCTGGATAATTTACAAAGAAAGGAATGCATTTCTTCTGTCCTGCAGGTTGGGAAAGACCTCTGGCGGGGGCTTTCTTACACTACCATATATGGCCAAGGGATCACATCATGGAGCAAAGCAAGAGTGACACCTCAGTTCCTTCCTCTTATGAACCCACAGTATCATCATGGGGGCCCTGCCTTCACATCCTCCCTTCACCCCAATTAGCTCCCAAAGGCCCCACCTCCAAAGGCCATTAACACATAAATTTGGGGATTAAGTGTCCAACACATGAACTTTTGGGGACCACACACTCACCATAGCATAGTGGTTGATACTTTAAAAAAAAAAAGCTATAGGAGGCTGGGCATGATGACATACCTATAATCCTAGCACTCTGGAGGTTGAGGCAGGACAAATGCTGCGAGTTTGAGGTCAGCCTGGGCTGCAAAGTGAGTTGAAGACCAGCCTGAACTTTATAGCTAGACCTTGTCTCAAAAAGAAAAAGAAAAAAAAAAAAAACATAAACAAGTAAAAAAAAGAAAAGTACAGGTACAAGTTCTATGACGTTCTTCCAAAGAATGATTTTTTTTCAAGTAGCCAGTTAATTTAGCTGAGCTTAAACTACAAGCCTATGCTTTAGAAAAGCAAGGGCTCAAACATTAACTTCAGATTCTTCCAGTCTCTGCCAGTCTTCTTGGAATCTGTCACACATGTGCATTGTTTTTGGGGATAAATGCAGAAATATCTGGTCTGGTTAAGTAGCTTCCAGCTTCACACAGTGAGAGAAAGCCTCACCTGCAAGGCTTAGAGCTCAGGGAGTGGTTCAGGGGCCTGGAGCTGCAGCCTCACAGCCTCTCCTAGCACCTACTTATGGCCCCGCACAGATGAAGGTGAGCAGAAGCCTCAGTGATGATGGATTCAGGAAGGAGACCTGGCTCAGCCCTCCCCACAACTCCAGGGCCCTTGTCAATAACTTCTCATCCTCCCTTCCTCCGTGCTCCCAGATGTGGACAAGTGTGCCAGCCCCTCGACAGCCCATGTCTGCACCTATGTCCACTGCTTCTCCTGCCCCGGCTAGAAACTACAGAGCAACAGCCACTTCTTGCATTGCGAATAGCTGGAGACAGGGACAGGGAGCCAGTGCTATGAACAGGGCAGGAGCCTCACTGCCCACCCCAACCCACAGGACCTGCAGTCACCAGCTGTACACACAGCCCTCGGGCTCCTTCTCCAGTTCCACGTTCCTGGCGGCAGTCTTACCCAACAACAGGGACCGCCACATCCAGGCCCTGGACTGTACCATGACCTTGAGCCTGCAGGACAAGGAGCCTCCAGAGGTTGTAGAGGGTTCACAAGACTCCCAGCTACTCGTGGTGAGGACCGAGAGAAAGGGAAGGCCCAAGTTCCTACAACTTCATGTCCTGGGAGAGGTTGGCTGGATATACAAATGAGTGGGAAAGACAGGGAAGGAGCCCACTCACAAGGATCCACCAAACCACCTATGACACAGGCACACAGTAAAAGTCAGGTTTTTAAAAATCAGTTTTAAATGGTACAAAAGCGTTAAGTACAAAGGGCCTTCAAGGTGTGGGAGATACCGTGCGCCTCTCCCTCCAAGCTTCGGCCAGCTATTCCTGTGTTGGGCAGCAGATGGCGCGCAACCTGGAAAGTTAGGAGAAGGAAACTGGAGAGTTGCTTAACTTATTTCCAGTAACTTCTCCCTCCTCCCCACCGGGCCTTCCCCAGCCCCACCTCCTGTTCCCGGCCTGGGCCAAGTCCTCTACAAGTTCCAGATGTCGGGTTCCAGATGTCTGGTCTCAGAGTGGGGGAACTACCTGGAGAAACCTCCCTCCTCAAGCTGCCCATGCAAGATGTGAGTGTGCCCAGAAGGCTGAGAGGAGAAGGGTGGGTACAGGAGGGGGCAGAACACAGTATCTGTCTGTGTACACACACACACACACACACACACACACACACACACACACACACACACACACCAGCTGCTCCAGAATGATCTGGAATTCTCCTGTGACGTCTGGCTGCCTTCTCCCTGGTCTGGGAGAGGAAACAGCTCAGTGCCTCTCCCCTGAGCCCTCCTTGCCCCCTGGGGTGCCAGGGCAGTGTTGGGTGGGTGGAGCAGGAGGCAGCCCTCTCGTCTGGATGAGACTGTCTGGGGAGAGGCACAGTGGTGATGCCTTCAGAAGGTGAGACGCTCATAGTCCCAGGCCCAAGACGGGCAGGAGCCCATAAGGACTGAGGAGAACAGGAAATGAGGAAGTGGACAGGAAGTCCCAGACCCCTGCCTTTGACGGGCCTCTCAATCACCATCTTGTCCGCCCTGCTCACAGGTGCTGGCTGCTGCTCTGTGGAATCCTCCAGGCTTGCCCCACACTGGGCTCCGTGCTGCTGGCCAGGCGGCTACCCCAGCAGCTGACGTCTCCTGGGTACCCAGAGCCCTATCCCAGAGGCCGGGAGAGCAGCACCAGCATTGTGGCAACAGAGGGCTTTGCTGTGAGGCTGGTCTTCCAGGACTTCGACCTGGAGCCATCCCAGGACTGTGAAGGGGACTCTGTCACAGTGAGCTGGGGTCCTGCAGAGGTGCTGGGGAGGTCCTGAATCACCCATCTAGAGGAGCGATAAACAGCCCACATCAGGGCCCTGGGACCCAGCTTCCTTGGGGGGGTGACAGTCTGCCCAGTACACAGCCTCCCTCAGGCACCTCTGCCCACCCCATGCCATCTGGACCCCACAAAGCAAGGGAGAGGGTGCAGAACAGGCCCTGTGCTTTGAAGACCTGCAACAGAACACACAAATACTGTAGATCTATAGAGTATAAAAGGTCAGGGGTACACACATCAGGTTTGTTGAGTGCCTGATTTGTCCAGTTAAGAAGCTGCGCACAGATAATAGCAGATTAAGTACCAATTTAAGACCAGGTTTACCTCAAAAGAGATGCCATAAAACTCCTTATGGGGTGGAGCATACCAATAATCCCAGCACTCTGGGAGGCTGAGGCAGAAGGATCACAAATTCAAGCCACCTCTGGGTAATTTAGTAACTTATTCTATCCTTTGATTCTGGAAACAGCTTGCATTATTTCTTTAATAATTCCCCAATGTCTGCTTTCTTTATTTTCTCTTCCTGAAGTTATAATTCAACTATTGTAGGGTCTCAGTCTTTGCAGAAGGTCCTATTGCTTCACTAACGTTGGACACAGAAAGCCACCCATTAAAGTGGAAGGTGTTGGGATAAGTTGTAGGGAAGGCAGAGAAGCCGGAGGGGAGGCACTGAATCTGTAGTTCTTTGATTGGAAGCCGTGGTGCTAGAAGCATCATGTTGCGCATCTGAGACTTGGCAATGAGCAAAGCAGACATAGGCTCTGTCTTCTTAAGCCTTACACCGCAGAGACTATTGCAGGAACCCTGGATTCCCCAGGAGCTTCTTGAAACAAGGAAAATAGGATGGGTGTTACACAGTAATTGTAGAAGACTAGAGATGTTTGAACATGTGGTCATTCTAGAAGAAACTTGGGAGTCAGTATAAAAACAAAAGCTACTTGAGGAAGACACCAGCAGAGGTGGCTGCTGAGTGCCTGAGGGGTGCAGACTTTCTAGACGGGGCAGTGGTCATGGACAGACATAACCCTGTGACCACAAAGTGCAGGCTCATCTCACACCTGCCTGTGCCTGTCTACTGCTCCCTCTTCCAGATCTCCGGCAGTGGGATGCTTCCAAGCAGGCTCTGTGGTCCACAGGGCTCCCCTCGGGACAGCCCTCCTGGTCAGAAAGAGTTCGTGTCCTCTGGGAGGAGTTTGCAGCTGACCTTCCGAGCACACGATTCCTCCCAGGAGCTGCCCACCCACCTCCACAAGGGCTTCCTGGCTGTCTACCAAGCTGTGGGTGAGTGTCTCACCTGGGGGTGCAGGGAAGGAGTGTCTGTCCCCAGCCATGAAGCCTCCCATCTTAAAAACCACAAACGGAAGCTCTAGCTTGGGCTGGGGGCACAGGAAGCCCTGGGCTGACCCAGCTGACTGCTGGCGAACAGCCCTGTTCAAGGGCAGCCATTGCTCCTTGATGCTTAACTGCTCCAGGATGATGTACAGGCCCAGTGTTTGCAATCGAGAGAGGTCAAAAAAGGACTGAGGAGGTAGCTCAGTGGTAGAGCCCTTGCCTAACTTGTATGAAGCCCTGGGTTCCAGCCCTCAGGGAAAGGGTGCACCATAACAATACTAACAGGGAGGGAGGAAGGAAGGGAGGAGGGATAGATGACACGTGCTAGAAAGGGGGGGTATTTTGAGGTGGATTAATGGCAATGTGCCTTTAACCACAATACATTTTTATAGTTCAAATATTCACTGTATATTTTGATTACTTCTTGTACTTAGCTGATTTCCCATCAACAGATATTTTGCTGCCAAACAATGCTGCTGTGGATATCTTTGCACATATGTCTGAGAATATTCTTAGAAATGGAAATTCTAGGTTTAGAAATCTTTACCTTTTTCATTGTGATTACTGCTGAATTTCTCACCAAAACGTTTTTCACTAATTTACACTCCCTCCCACAAACCACATGTGGAAGTACCTGTTTCCCCATCCTCTGCAAGTCAGTTATTTTCAAACTCGAAGTGCTGACAGTCTGAATGGTGAAAACTTCTTCAATTGTTTTGTTTTGTTTTTAAATTTCTGTGCAGGTCAAATTAAGTAGAACCTGCCACTTTGCAAATCTGCAGGAAGTTCTAATGACTACTGTTCCCTACAGCTCTGAGCTGCGAGCCCCTCAGCCAGCGCAGTGGGGTCTCTGAGGGCACCTTCACACCTGGAGCCATGCCCTCGGAGACCCAGACCTACTGCCAGGAGCCCTATTACCAGGCGACACCTGCTGGTAAGTCCCCCATGCAGGAAAGAGGTTCCAGTGCTTGGGCCCTCTGAGCACTTACTGTGTTAGCCCAACGCCCTGCAACTGTGAGCTTGCTCTATGCTCCCCTCATTTTGCTCCTAGGGACCCTCAGCTACCCAGTCCAGGGGACCTGGGCAGACAGACAGGACCGGCAGGAACATCCTCAGTGTGTGCCTGGTAAGTAGTTTCCTACCTGGTGCAATTCTGAGGGCCATGTCCCCAGCAAGCTGCCTCTGGAACGGGATGTACAGACACCGGGGCTGCAAGCGAGCGTCGGGTAGGAAGGAGAGATGAGCAGAGAGGGGAGCTCCCTCTTGTTTTTCCAACATTAAAATATGTCTGAGGGGCGTAATCAGATGGTCAAGTGAAGCAGGAAGGAGAGAAGAGTTAAAGTAACAGAAGACTTTTTGTATGTTATATTTTAAGGACACACGGGGCTCTCAGACTGCCCAAAACCTCTGCTTCCGGTTGCCACAGTGGCAGACATTCTGCTTTCTTTGCGGAGTGGGGATGTGGGCTGAGGATTGGACCCGGGGGCCTCTAACATGCTAGACAAACTCTCAAGAGTGAGCTACGCCTTAGCCCTCTACCCTAAAATGTTTTTATTCAGGTAAGACTAACCATTTTAACCACGTTAAAGTGTACAATTCAGAGAATGTTAGTGTTTTAACAGTGCTGTAGAAACACTACCACTAATTTCAGAACAGATCCACCATCCTGCCCCTAAAATTCCTTGATCTCCAACTCCATCCTCCCCCATCCCTTGGCTACCATTAATCTACTTTCTGTGTCTATGGACTTGCCTGATCTGCACATTTCACACAAATGGAATCATACAATATGTGACCTTTGTGCCTGACTTCTTTCGTATAACACAACGTTTGCAAGGTTCACCAGAGTTAGAGCAGGTAGCAGTACTTCAGTCCTTTCACGGCTTAGTAATACCCCTGTTTGTACGTATATGCCGCACTTTGTGTAGCCATTCATCAATGGACATTTTGGTTGTTTTCACTTTTTGCCTACATATTATGAATAATACTGATCTGAGCATTTTTATATAAGTTTTTGTGTACACATATGTTTCCAAATCTCTTGGTTATATAATCAGAAGTGGAATTGCTGACTCACATGGTAATTCTGTGTTTAACATTTTGCAGAACCACCAAATTATATTTCCGTAGCAGTAGCGCCATTTTGCATTTCACCAGCAATATGACGGTGCAAGTCCATCATGTTTGAAGACCACTTTTTGTTTTGTTTTTGATTTTGCAGTACTAGGGATCAAACCCATGGGCCTTCACACGGAGCTACATCCCAACCCTTTTTTATATTTTTAATTTTGAGAAAGGGTCTCATTCTCTCACTAAGTCGCCCAGGCTGAGCTTGAACTTGCAGTCCTCCTGCCTCAGCCTCTCAGGTGCTGGAATTACATATGGGCTTTGCCTTCCTAACCCACTCAGATCAGCAGAGATCTCCAAGGGCAGCCAGAAAGCTCCAGGTTCCAGGGGTGTCTTGGAGGGAGGGTGGTGTGGGAAATGCTAAAAGTGAGGATGGGATACCAAACAAAGAGCCACCAATGACAAACTGCCTACCACAGGATGTGGCCTGGGGATGGCCCCACCAAGAGTCTAGGGGTGGCCAAAGGGGCATGAGGGGGAGACCCGCACAGCCAGCCCCAACTGTGTGCTCATTCGGGCCCCACCCCGAAGCCTGCTGCCCTGAGCCTCCGGCAGGACGTGTGCCCAGTCATGTCAGAGATGATCCACTGCCCACATCGGCTCCTGGGTCTACACTTGTGGGCCTGGGTCATGTAAGGGCCCAGCCCCATACAGAGCCACACTGGCACCTCCTCCTGCAGCCTGTAGTCTAATCAGCGTGCCTCCAAGCAGATGCTGAGTGTTCACTCCTCTGTCCTCTCTCTCAGTGTGTGGACGGCCAGTCACGCCTCTTGCCCAGCACCCAGAGACCCTCGGCCCTTCCAGAGCTCCTCTGGGCAGCTTCCCCTGGCAAGCCTTCACTGTCATCCATGGCCGCGGGGGCGGGGCCCTTCTGGGCGACAGGTGGATCCTCACTGCTGCCCACACCATCTACCCCAAGGACAGCGCCTCTCTCGGGAAGAACCAGAGTGTGGATGTGTTCCTGGGCCACACGCACATAGATGAGATGCTGCAACTGGGAAACTATCCCGTCCGCCGGGTCGTGGTGCACCCGGACTACCGCCAGCATGAGTCCCACAACTTTGATGGGGACATCGCTCTCCTGGAGCTGCAGCACAGCGTTCCCCTGGGCCCCCACCTCCTCCCAGTGTGCCTGCCGGACACTGAGGCATTCTACCGCAGCGGCCTGTGGGGCTATGTCAGCGGCTTTGGTGTGGAGATGGGCTGGATTACCACAGAGCTGAAATACTCCAGGCTGCCGGTGGCCCCCAGGGAGGCCTGCGAGGCCTGGCTCCGGGAGAGGGAGCGGACTGAGGTGTTTTCTGACAACATGTTCTGTGTGGAGGATAAGATGCAGACCAGCAGTGTCTGCCAGGGGGACAGTGGTAGCGTCTATGTGGTGTGGGACGGTCACGCCCACCGCTGGGTAGCCACAGGCATCGTGTCCTGGGGTGTCGGGTGTGGCAAGGGGTATGGCTTCTACACCAAAGTGCTCAACTACGTGGGCTGGATCAAGGAAGTGATGGGTGGCAGGGACTGAACAGGGGCTCATGGGCAGGCGCCGACCAGCACGTAGACACCGGGTCCAGAGGGTTGGGAGTGAAGGGTGAGCCCTTCAAGTCCCTGCGGTGGCCAGGCACCAAGTGGAGAAACCCTCCTCCCTTCTGCTGAGTAGAAAGTGGCATCTGACAGCCCTATCCTTCCCCTCTGCCTTCAAGTGTGTTTGCAACAGGGAAGCGCTGCCCATCTAGGCAGCTGTCACTGCAGTCTCGCATCCCCTCCCACAGCGCACCTGTCAACACAGCCTTTCTGTTCTTACCTGTGGAAGAGGTGCCTTCTCACCCCCTATCCAGGTGATGTGTGGAGGAAAGGGTCTTCATGGCATTTCGTTTCTGAAATTCTCCAAAGAGCCTTTAATTGTCCTTCAGATAATCAAGCCATTGGCTTGTCACCTACCACAATTCCTACGTGCAATGATAGTAATAGCTCCTGCTTTGTTTTACACCTTTGACACGCAGGCTTTTCTTGTGTTATTTCACTTCATCCTCACACATGTTTGCAAAGGATGTGTTTTTATCCACAGCTTACAGACCCGGAAGCTGCAGTCCTTGTGACTACAACCGCAGAGGCAATTTTCTCCCTAGTATCTGGGATACCTCTGCCATTGTCCACAGGACCTACTTTCCCTGTCCTAGTCCCTGAGTCCTCACAGATTCTCTCCCTGGATGTCCTGCTTCTGTCTTACCTTCCCTGTACTAGTCCCTGAGTCCTCACAGATTCTCTCCCCAGATGCCTTGCCCCTGGGCTGGGACTCCCTGCAGACACACTGGCCATTGTCATGATGAATACCATAAATCAGAGAAGACAGTGAATTTGTCAGCATTGACAGCCAAGTTTTTGTATAATCAAAGGTTAAATTTATGTTTGGCCAGGTGTGGTAGCGCACGCCTGTAATCCCAGCACTCCAGAGGAGGATCTCTGTGAGTTCAAGGACAG